GTGTGCTCCATAATATCTGTGAAAAAAAGGGGGGAAATTTTCTGCAGGGGTGGGCAGTTGAGACAGATCGCATGATAGCCATTTTTGAGCAGCCAGACACCAGGGCAATAAGAAGATCACAGCAAGGGGTGCTGCATATCTGTGAGGCTTTGAAAAGCCGTTTCAATAATGTGTCACAGTAATGTGAGCGGTTTGTTTGCATTGTGCTTTCCCAAACCTTCACCTGCCTTGTATCACTGTCCCTGTAAAGCCAACCCCGCCACCACTGTTCCCTCTAAGCTATGCGCATGTGCATACAGATCCTAAACCCCACGCACAAGGCAAAACACCCCGCACACAAAAATTTGCACAGAAGAAATTTTTTGTGCACACAGCCTGTCAAAAATGTGCACAGAAGAAATTTTTTGCGCACACGGCCTGTCAAAAATTAGAGTGAACATTGCCCCCCACGCAAGCCCTCTGCTTCTACTCAATAAAGAACATTTATTTCTCAAATCCATTTACTTTATTTAACAAACATAAGTAAAGAGGGAGAACAGAAAAAAAAGGGAACCTTGGGGAAAAGGGGTTGTAAAGTTGGAACGGGAGAAACATTTTCAGCTGTGTAACGTAACACCCCATTCCAGACCATCAAAGGTCTGTGAATGGACGCCTTCTGTTCCTTGTACCCTCCCCCTGAGTTAAGTGAAAGGGATAATGGACTTTTGGCCCATGCCTCATGGAACGCTTGTGGGAGGGTAATTCTACGCCAGGAGATGCTGGCTGGCTGTCCACCAGGATCTGCAGAGGGACTCTACCCACCTGCTTCTGTTCCTGCAGTTCAGCCAGACACCTCAACATGTCTGCTTGGTCTCTCATAATCCGAAGCATCTTGTCCTGTGCCGCACACTCTTGCTCATTAGAAGCTTTCCTGCTCTCCATGTCCATGTCTAACTTCTCGGACAGAGAAATCCTCCACGCTTTCAGCTCTGTGTCAGCTGTCCCGGAGGCATTTATTATTTTGGTGAATATGTCCTCCTGCGTTCTCTTTCTCCTCCTTCTAATCACTGAAAGTCTGCTTTCAGGTGTTCATGACACGCCGAAGGACACATTTCCGGCTGTCAGTCATGCGGAAAACTAAAGGAGCCATTGTACATGAATAAAATGTTTCCATAGCAAGGCCGCATTCATAAAAAAACAAACCCTTATTACACTAAGTGCAAGCCATAACATAATCAGAATCCGTAACCATTCACTATGCTGTTTTGCTGCTCCAGCCGTGGTGAGTAGGCTCCCTTCGCCCCCCCCCCCCCCCCGCTGCCCCCAGGTCATGGGTGACTGCACTTTTGAACAAGGTGGGGGGAAACGTTTTTACTCCCAAATTGGGGAATCTCTCATGTGGGGCCCCAGTCCCCTATCAGTCACTTTAAACTACTTGCCAACCCATGCCGAGCACAGTAAAGGCACATTAGCTGCTGCGTGGTTTGGCGATCTGGAATGTGTGTGTGGGGGTGTATCATTCTCCTTGTTGTCCCTAGACTCACACACCTGTGAGGTGTCCACGTTGCTTGTGGGGGTGCTGGTAGGGTCACCCTCGAGAATCGCATGCAGCTTGTTGTAGAACTGGCATGTGTGGGGTCCAGCACCAGAATGACTGTTTGCCTCTCTTGCCTTCTGGTACACTTAGCGAAGTTTTTATTTTCACACGGCACTGCTGGGTGTCCCTCGTGTAGCCCTTCTCCCCCATCCCACGAGCAATCTTTGCATAGAGGTCAGCGTTTCTTCTGCTGGATCGAAGCTCTGCCTGCACAGACTCTTCTCCCCACACAGCGATGAGATCCTCCACCTCCTGTGCAGACCAGGCTGGAGCGTGTTTGGGGCGTACAGTCTGCACGATCAGCTGTGCTCAAGCTGGCATGCTCCCAATGCTGATCAAACAGGAAATGGGAAATCAAAAATTCCCAGTGCTTTAGCAGGGGAGGGGCTGTTTCCTGTGTACCTGGCTGCAGTGCAGTCAAGTTGAGAATGATCTCCAGAGCAGTCACAGCTGAGCATTGTGGGACACCACCTGGAGGCCAATTAAGTTGAATTACACAATGCTGCATCTGCACTACCTCACAGTCGACCCATGAAAATCGAAGTAAGCGCTACGCCTCTTGCAGAAGCAGATTACAGAAGTTGACATTAGAAACGACTTAGGTCAGCGTAAAGGACCCGGTAGTGTAGACACATACATTAACAGGTCAACTTAAGGCGGCTTCCTTCTACCTAACTTTTTAGTGTAGACTAGGCCTGAGAGTCCTCAGGAAGTGACTACCATCTATCATGGGCGGTTCATTCTCTCTCTCACTCATCCTCTCCCCAGGAGGAATGCTGGAGCCCAATCCTGCATAGATTTACATATGTGCTTAGTTTGACCACTGTGAGTAGTTCCACTGATGGCAATGGGACTACTCAGTGCATAAAGTCAAGCACATGCATAAATCTTTGCTGGATTGGGGCCTTACATGCGTACTTAAATTTACTGACTGGAGTAATCCCAGTGCTTTCCAATTAAGCATGTACAGAAGTGTTTTCAGGATCAGGCTCTGACATCCCCTGAAACCTCAATAAAGTCTCTTTAAAAAATATAAACATGTGGCGTAATATAGGAAAGGGTCTCCAAAAGAGACATCAAGTGAGAGAAAACAATAGGGCAAATTTTGCTTTTTTCAGCTAGTGATTTTATTTATAAAGGCCCTTTTAACTCTGCATGTGGAACAGGAAATTAATATAAACAATAATTAGAGTATGGCGGAGCCTTTAAGCACATGAAATTTGTTTATTTACTTTAAAATAAAACGGGCATAAAAGTACAAATATCCAGAGCTTGTGATTTCTTATCTGGCCTATTTTGGGCCAAAACCAACATGCCTTATTCACCTGATCTGTCCCGTTCAGTTAAACGTGACTGTCTATTTAGGTCAATTTGGTAATCAGGATTTAGCCCGCTGATGTAGAAGGATTCTTAGATTTCACAGATCTTCATTTCACTTTCATGGCACCATAATTTACAACAAGGCCAATAATTACAACAGCAAAGTGTGTCAAATTAAATAATTACAGTTAAATTCACCTTTGAATCAGAAAACTGAATGTACTTGAAGTTCCCAAATACAAAGCATTGTAACAACCAAGCAGAAAATGGATCGGATATTTAAATCCAATTTTACAACAATCAGGTCTCAACAGAACGGTAACTGGCTGATGATCTGTTTTAAAAGATGACAATTCTGACAGTTGAGCACAGAAGTTTCAGAGCCTCAGTATCAATCTGGAACATATTCACTGTCCTGTCTCTCATTATACGTATTTTGGTACACTATATATAAAAATAATTTGGGGCCTGGTCTTGCCACCATTATTCATGGGAGCAGTTTTTGCATGAGGAAGGACTTGGCCCTTGCATGGAAGAATAATTTGCTTCTGCATACTCAGTATTCCAACTAGGAGATTTTGTTAAAGGTGTAAGGACTATAAAAACTATAGTAATTGAATTGTTGCTTATTCTGTGGTTTGATTTCAGTTTCTTTTCTCAATCTATTAATACAGGTTTAAAACTGAGCATGTTACAGTGACACTTTTCTTCTTTGTTTTATTGATTTCCCCCTCCCCACCCGCACTCCATAGATAACCTCTTACATTTTCCTGATACAAAAATATAAAACACAACTCACCATGCAGATGAGCATGGTATAAATACCTACATATATATCCCAGTCAAGGCTGTTTGTTCTTCCTCCCAGCTACTTTCAAAATTATTGCACTTTCCTTATTACATGCCTTTGCTATTAAATGCACAAATTCATGCTAAATGCACGCAACTCAGGTAGTACCCAGAACATCATGTTCATAAATGAAAAGGCGCAAACTGAGCATTTAAAGCCATGGTGCCATGCATTGTTGCTTATGATTGACTCTTCCTGCAACATGTCCTGTGATTCACTTTACGAAGGCCACTATATAAAAATTAATGGTATACTGGATTGCACTGAAGAGTGGAGAGACCCAGCTTCCTGCCTTGCTGGTAAACCTCTTTAAGAAAAAGCAATAGCATCCTTAGTGCCATTGTGTCCCTGCTTCATCATCATCATTCCACCCTATGCCCCCAATAACTCCTTCAGAGGAGAGGACCACAATAAACAACAGGAAGGGAACAGGGAACATTCACCAGTCTGACTTCACACAACATCCCTAACCCTAACTCCTTCTCCAAATGGGGGTGTGAGAGAGAAGTAAGCTGGCTAAACAGATCTCCCAAGATGCAGCTTTCTTTCCTTTCAATCCCTCCCCACAAGAACACCCCCTCCCAAATTCCTCTGCAAGCCACAACACTGTTGCAATGCATATCACCCAAAATATTAGCTAAGCAGACACTTTTGAAGGGTATTATAAGTGAGTCCAGCCAAATCAATATATTTTTTTTAAAAAAAAGCACTTCCCAACCCCACCTCCCTGATTTCAAAGCAGCTTCTGTGCTCTGGATGCCTATTTGGCTCACGTACATACATTATGTTCTGTAATTTTCTCCCCCACCTCCCTTCAAACATTTCCTTGATGTAGCCAACCAGAAGAATGTTAGGAATGAATGGGTAAAAAAAAATCCTAACAGTTTACCTGAATAAATAATAATTAAAAAAAAAACACAACTGCTTTAAAACAGATCTCCAGTTGTCCATTCATAGCTGCCACCTCCACCCCCTTTTTATTACTTAAGGCTAATTCCCTGGAAAAACATGATAATCCCCGCCCTGTAATGCATCTTTCACGGCACCCACTCTCAGCAGATGCTTCTTTTCCTACTTAAAAAAATTATCTCCAGCTTTCATCCCAGGGTTTTTCGTTGTGGTGGGTTTTTTTTTTTAATTTTATTTTATTTTGTAACATAACAGTAGCGTCTTCAAATCGGTATAACTCATTCACTCCTTCAAGGAGAGGGAAAATAGCTTAGTGTTACTGATGCTGCACAAAAGAAAACATACCTGATCTCTTTGATGCTCTCCAGTTTGCACATGATTTCTTGCTCATCAGCCATGCTTTTCACTCCAATTTAAACCTCCCGTGATGTACAAAATGCCAGCCCCAAAAAACAAAACAAAACAAAAATCAACCCATACAATAGACACAATGTAGCCACCCACTCCGGGCATATGGACTCTGAGCCTGTGCGGTATAATCTAATGGGAACTATGGGAGTTAGAGTCCAGTTCCTTATTGCAGCCGAGGCATGTGCAAGAGGAAAGACTACAACGCCCACAAGGCAGAGCAGAGCTTTCTTACCCCGCTTCCTGCAGCCACACTTTAAATCAATTTGTCACAGCTAATTATGTCAAAGGTTGCTAGTTGTGGAAGGGAGCTGAGTTCCTCCCCTTGAGGGTTGTGGGTTGTTGCTCTTTCAACTGAAACGATACAGTGACGTATATGTGAATCCTGAGAGTCGGTTGGAAAATGTCATGATTTTGATGAAAAGCTAAATTAAATCACACAGAAAAAATGCTCCAATAATTTTGGGAGACATGTTTGACATTTTAATTGATGCTCAGTTGTCCAAAGATATGCAGAAGCACTGAGGTTTCTTTGGGATTTGTTTTCGCTCTCAGGGCATGGTTACACTTGCAGATGTAGAGCGCTTTGAGTTAAACCAGCCTTCGGACAGCGCAGTAGGGAAAGTGCTGCAGTCTGTCCACACTGACAGCTTCAAGCGCACTGGTGTGGCCACATTTGTGGCACTTGCAGTGGCACTGGGAGCGGTGCATTATGGGCAGCTATCCCAGCATGCAAGTGGCTGCAACGTGCTTTTCAAATGGAGGTCAGGGGGGAGTGTGACAGGGAGTGTGTTGTGTGTATGTGGGGGAGAGAGAGTGGGTTGGGGGCGCTGAGAGCATGTCAGCATGCTGTCTTGTAAGTTCAGACAGCAGCAGACCCCTCTCCCTCTCTCACACACAGCATTCCACAGTGATGGTTGCTTTGTCTAGGAGCAGATAAGCAGCCGGCTGTCAGAAACGGAGCTTTCAAAGGGCATTTCCGCATTCCTGCAGCGATTCCAAAAAATGACAAGAGTGGCCACTTGACTTAAGGAGATTATTGGACATTTCTGGAGGCTGATCAGAGAACAATAATGCAACACCTCGTTCACACTGGTGCTGCGGTGCTCCAGCGGGGGTGCAGCAAACGTTATTCCACTCGCCGAGGTGGAATACCAGCAGCGCTGTAGCTGCGGAGTCAGAGCGCTCTACGTGCCTTGCCAGTGTGGACGGGTAGTGAGCTAGTGCGCCCGGGGCTCCTTTAGTGCGCTGTAACTCGCAAGTGTAGCCATGCCCTCAGTCAATACAACTGACAATATGAATGATACAAAAGAAGAAATAAAGCACAAATGTAACCTTTGTTATTAAAAATTAAGATTTAGAGTGATCCTCAGGCACCTTGCATCTGAGGATCTCAAAGAGATGTACATACATTGATGAATTAGTCTCACAGTCCCGTATGAGACCGGTAATTATTTTTGTCTGGCTTCCACAATGTGTTATCTGCTATGTAGACAGTTAGGAAGACAAGGGGCGAGATTTTCCAAACATAAATGACTTAGGTTCTTTGGAAAATCTCACCCTTTGTCCTGAAGAATTTATGATCAATGAGCTCTGCACTAGTGGACCCGTACGTGAGCATGGAATCTCATTGGCTCTAATGGGGCTCCCATTGGTTGGTGGGTGTGGGTGGGGGGGTGTCCCTCCACGCAGAACTCATTATAAGTTCAGGGCCTAGACAGGCAATAGAGGGCCTGATCCTGCAAACACCTACTAATGAGTATAACTTCACATGCCTGGGTACTATCAATGAGACTACTCACAGGAGTAGTGTTAGCAGGATAAACCCAAAGAATGAGGAGGAAAATTCAAAAGACCTTGGTTTAAACATAGCGAAACTGAGTCACAGAGAGGTGAAGGGATTTGCCCAAGGTCCCATAGCAGTCCAGAGGCAGAGGTTAGAACAGAATCAAGATCTCCTTGCTGCCGGGCCATTCCCTGAATGACAAGCCCAGTCTTCCTCTGCTCTTTTGCTGCATGAAGCCTCAGCATTAAAATTGCTTCTCATCACTGACTCCCCATCCAAACAGAATTGAGTAAAAGCAGGTTGTCCACAATGCATCCTGCATAGAATACTGGTTTCCGTGTATGATGTATTACTGAGCATCTTGAAAATCTGTCCTGGAGGATTTTGTTTGCATGTTTTTGTTTGTTTTTATGGGGTGTGTGAGTGGTTAGGCTCACTTATAGAAAGAGGGAGAAAGAGTTATAACGATTACCCTTGGTTTCTATTGCATTAATAATAATTAGTAATTAAAATGATTTTCTTGGCATCTTCACAAATATTAATTAATTGAGTCTCACAATATCCCATTAGGCAGGTGATGGTGTAAGTATTTTCTTCATTTTTAGCAATGAAACTGAACTTCACACCCAAATCCCCTTGAATGCTGGAGATGTTCAGACCTGTATCTGAACTTTGCCATCAGGCCCATCTCCACTCATTTTACAGATGAGGAGATGGAGGCACAGTGAAGTTAAGGGACTTACCCAAGTCCATGCTGTGAGTCAATAGCAGGACTGGGAGTAGAGCCTTAAACTTCTGATGTCCAGTCCCCTGATCCAATCACTAATCAAACTACCTTTTGATGAATAATGTATCTGAACATGCTAGAGATATATCCTGTAACTCATTTAACTGTGATATTGAATTGCTTTTAGAAATGGAGTCCTATTACTGAATAATTATACTTTGCCCTTTTCTTCTGAAGTCCTTACAGAGCTTTGCAAAGATGGGTAAGAAACAGAGCCACAGAGGGTATGTCTACATTGCAAAGAAAGACCCATAGCAACATGTCTCTAAGCCCTGGTCAACTGACTGGGGCTTGTGCTACTGGGCTAAAAATAGCAACATAAGAATTTGGACTCAGGCTGGATCTTGGGCTCAGAAATCTGGGGGGGGGGGGGGAGGTGGGAAGCATCTTGGAGCCAGGGCTCCAGCCTGAGCCCAAACATCAGCATTGCTGTTTTTAGCTCCATAGGGCAAGCCCTGCAATTCTGAGTCAGTTGATCCAGGCTCTGAGACTCGCTGCTGTGGTTTGTTTGGTTTCGTTTTTTTCAATGTAGATGTACCCAAAGAGGTTAAGACATAAAATTTCAAATCTGGTCGCCTAAAATTAGATATGAGTGGTCGAATTTTCAAAGGTGATAAGCAGCCACATTTCTGTCGGGGAGCTTTGAAAATCCAGCCACTAATGTTGATACTTAACTATGAATTTAAGTGTCTAACTTTTAGGCAACCTGATGTGAAAATTATGTCCATCCAATCTGGAAACCTTTGTCTATCTGTAGTATCATAATGGGTAGCTCCAGTCACCTGTGATCATTTGTGCTGCTGCTGTTCTCTTCTGAAGAGATTGATCTACGTTCTCATGGAGTCCCAGATGTATGTGTGTCAAACAGTGCTAGTTGTGAGGAATATTGCCATTTATAAACTGGCATGATGAGGAATGCTACAAATCTCCTGGGCACTCAGCTCAGCTGGAATTAAACCACAAAAGAACTATCACCTGATGTCTCTGTGCAAATAACACACATGCTCTGAAATAAATGGGCAACAGCCAACAGCAAAGAAATATATTGGAAAATTGGGCACAGGGAGGTTTAAATTACACTTCCTTTCACCAACAAAGCTATTTGAATGGCAAGGCAGATTCACCCTTATTGAAGGGATGGTGGCATCTATCTCAGCCCTCTTGTGGGTCCCTCACCAGGAAGAGGGTGGTATGTTTAATTCCCCTATGTGTTTCTATGAGCTCTGCCAGTAGATGAGTCTCCAAAGAGCCTATGAATATATGCTGATTTCCCTGGACACACACCTTTTCTGCCGAGCACCACCTTATTCTGATGCTGAATAGACCCTTAGAGCCCCTTGGTAATTGGAGTTGAAAATATTTGGACCACCATCAGCTGGAATTTTTTTACCTTCTACCCAAAATAAATGTGGGATGTCAATGTGTGTGATGAAGGACCAATCTATCAAAACCTGGACCCCAAGTGAGGCGTGAATTTTGAATAGTGAGAATAATTAACCTTTGGAACAATTTACCAAGAGTTGCAGTGGATTCTCCATTGCTGACCATTTTTAAATCAAGATTGGATGTTTTTTCTAAGAGATATGCTCAAGGAATTATTTTGGGGAGCTTCTATGGCCTGTGCCATACAGGAGGTCAAACTAGATAATTACAATGGTCCCTTTAGGCTTTGGAATCTATGAATTCCATGAAAAGTTTGACAAATGGCAACTCTAGTCCCCAAAGCTCCAGCTTGTCACCTCCTAAATTCAGCCTGAGCTCCACTGATCCAGGAAGCAAAAGAAACTAGGTCAGTCGTAAAATTTCTGAAGCACACAAGGCTGATATCAAATCTCCCCTGCACACACACACACACACACACACACGCACACGTTGTAGCTTTTTGTTAACCTCTTTCTTAAAGGAAGTAATTTGGAGCTTAATCCTGAATTCTTTGTATACTCTCAAATCCCAATGAAGTCAGTAGAAGTTTGGGATGGGCAAGGAATGCAAGAGCAAACCCCCAGATAGTTTTAGCAATGAATTTTTTTAATGGCAAAAATGATTAATCTTCATCATGCACAAATGGGCTGAATGATTTCCCCTCTATTTTGTTTGCTGTCTTCTCCAATCAGCTGTTACCTCTCAATTGTTCTCTGCAGAAAATTGCTCTTTTCCAAGGGTGGTTCACCCACTTCTATTTGCCACTGTTTTTCCAACATGTAGACTGCCCTTGGCCCTTTGGAGCAGAGATCCCATTTTTATATTTGACATTGAAATGTCACACACTCCTATAGCACCATAAAGCAAACACAAATCTTAGAAATTAACCAGTTAGTGATATTTTAATGGTCTAAATAACAGTTGTCAGGTTAAAGAACTTGGGACTGATTTTGAAAACTCTCAACACACGGCAACTCCCACTGACTTCAATGGGAGATTTGTGTAGTGAACAGAAAGGCTTGAAAATCAGGCCCCTTTTATGCCAGTTTTCTATTCAGAGTCCAGTTTGTAGGAAAGTTATAAACTGAAGCTATGAATGGGAGGAGAATGGGGCTCTCCAGCGGGAGGGAATAAAAAGCCAGGCTTCAGAGGTGAAGTGC